AGTGTCCCTCATTCTATGTCAACAATCATCAGTTAGGCAAATCTTGCTTCCTCCATTCCATTCTCATTCCTGTACTATTTTGAAGCAAGTCCAAGGTAAATACTTTAAATTAAACTTTTAAATGAGAATCTCTCTCATTTTTAATGTGACCACAATACCATTTTCATATTTAAAAGTACGCTATAATTATTTAAAGTCATCAAATAGCTCTTCTTCACATTCACAATTGTGTCTTACAAAGTTTTTTTTTTAATGTGACTGGTTAATAAATGCTTTATTCTGCTTTAATCTTTAAGATGTCCTTTCCCCTCCATCCCTTTCTTTTTCTTCAAAACCTTGTAATTCATTTATTGAAAAAACTGGATTTTTCATCTTGTAATTTCCTATAGTCTGACTCTTGCTGACTCCTTACAGTGTCTCTGAGGAGAAAATGAGCGAGGGGAGGGGTGGAAGCACAAGCAGACTCCCCACTGAATGAGGAGCCATGGTGGCTCCCTCAATCCCAGGGCCCTGAGATCTTGACTTAAGCAAAATCAGACACTTAACCAACTGAGCCACCCAAGTACTCCCAACTTGTCATTTGTAAATAAACATAGTTTTACTTCTTTCTTTCCAATTCTTATGTCTCCAAATGTTTTCTCTTGTCTTAATGCATTTCTGAATTGTAGCAGAAATAATAGGTATGATTTTCCTATTCTTCACTTTAAACTTTCAGTATATGTCACCATTAGGTTAGATACTGGCTTTGGGTTGAGGTATACACATACACAGATACACATACCATATTAAGGAACTATCTGTCAGTTCTCATTTTGTTGTACTTTTAAAAATATAATAAATGTTAGATTTTGTCAAATGCCTTTTCTTCCATCTATGGATATGATCACATACTTTTTCTCCATTGCTCTATTGACAGGATGGATTACATTAAAGGAATTCCTAATATTGAATGACAGTTTCCTGGAATAAGCCCAATTGACTAAGATGTGTTACATTTTTAAAGTTTTAGCAGATTCTGTTTATTAACTTCATATCTATAGTTTTTGCATTGATATTCATATATGAGATGAGTCTAAAATTTCATTTTTAAAATGTAATGTTTATGATTTGGGGATCAATATTATATTGTACCAGGAAATGAACTTGGAAAGTTTACTTGGTTTACTAAGATCTGAAAAGGTAAAATAACCTTAGGAGTATTTGATAATTTAAGATTTGGTAAAATCCTTTCATGGAAATATCTAGGTCTGCTTTCTCTTGGCAAGCTTTTTTAAAATAAAAAAAAAAAACTCCATGATGATTGGGCTATTTATCTTTTTGGGGGTCAATGTTTATAAATGATATTTTTCCAAAATTTTATCCTTTTTTTCCAGGTCTTCAATTTATTTATATACAGTTGAGCAAAGTTGTTCTCTTTTTTAAAGATTCTCTATTTTGTTTTCCCATCTTGTCATTTCTAATTTTGTGAATTTGCTTTCTACTTTTTTCTTAATTAGATTAGGTTAACTAGTGACTTGTATTTTTCTTGATTTAAGAAACATGGCTTTCTTTTATCCTATGTTTTGCTTCACAAACACTGATTTCAGCTTTTGTCATTGTTCCTAGTTTCTGCTCTTTTTTTTTCCTCCCCTGGCTTTTCTTGGCTTGTTTTGTTGTTCTTTCTAGATTTTTTTGTGTGTCATTTGCTTTATTTATCTTTTTATTTTTATTGGTATAATGATGGTTTTTATCTGATATTTGCTTTATCAGCCCCTAATATTACATTTTCATTATTACTATTTTCAGTAAAGTATGTAATTTTATTTTGTATTCTTCTTTGACTCAACAGCTATTTAACGATATGGTTTATAATTCCTAGGTAAAAGCGCTTCTTGTTTTCTGGTTTTGTTACTAAGTTCTAGTTTATTATATTTCAGTTAGTGAATGATTTTTTAGTGTATCTGTTCTTTAGAATTTCTAGAAGGTTTATCATCTCAGATACAGTAAATTTTGTGAATACATCATACGTACTTGAGAAGAATCTATATTTTCTATTATTGAAATTCAGGTTTCAAAGTATATTTACAAATTCTATTTTAAGGATTACATTGTATATGTCTTCTATAAATTTTAAATATATAATCTGCCTTGGATTTTAAGAAATGAATTAAAGTCTCCTATTTTTAATATGTTTCTATTTTTCTAGCATTCCCTGCAGTTTCTCTTTGATAAATATTGTTGCACTCTTTTAAAATTTTTAATTTAATTTATTGTTTATTTATAATTTATTTTAATTTAATTTTCCTGATACAATTTGTCCATTCTTTTATTGCCAGCTTTTCTAAATATCTTTATTTGTAGTTCTATATCTTAAACACAGAAAAGTGTTGGGTTTTCCTTTATCAGACAATCTGAAAACACTTGCATTTTAATAGGCATTACATCTATTAATATAATCAGTATTTTTTGGAATCTATCATATTTTAAGTGTTATATTTATATATGCTGATATTTTATATGAAGTTTTTCATATGTCATTTTTATGCTTTCTTTTATAGGAAAGTTTTGATTTTTCTTCTTATGCTTTTTATACTAATATTTCATATGAAAATCTTGGTCTTTCCTCTTTTCAGTTGTTTTCTTTTATTCTTTAGTAAAATATTCATTAAGTTTAGTTTGTAATCTTTTTTTTTCCTTCTTCTCCATTTCTCCAAGCAACTATTTGTAGTGATAACTATGATTCCCAGTTAGTAGCCATGAAACAATCAAAACTCATTCTAAATTGTAAATGTTCTCACTATTGTTCCTTAACTGTTAGATATTTGATGGAACTGTGTTGTCAGATGGATCTGTGTAATCATAGCATGCCCCACTCTTTTCTTTGCAATTGTCATTTCACTTTAATTCCACAGTTACGCTCTCCCCAATTCTTATAATGGTATCTCTCCAGTCATTTCGTTCAAGAAACTCATCTAGCAGCTTTCTCAAGAAGTGCTCATGGGAACAATATTCCCTAATTTTTAAATGCTTATAACAGCTTATTCATAGCCTTTATTTGTGAAAATCTGTTTACATGGTTATTAAATGCTTGCCAATCTCCCTTTTTTTCTTACAAACTGAGCTATGTCAGATAGATTATATCTCCTAATATGGTCTCCCCTTATGATACTTAGAAGTTGTAAGGATGAAACCTCAATGTAGATGATACGTATTTATGATATTAATGCTATGTACTTATGTAAATACGCTGTGTATTTATGCTATTATAAATTTATATTTAAATATTCACATATAACATCTATATGTTGATTTTTCAATTATTTAATAGACTATGTTATAAGACCCAGGAATCAAAGAAATCACATTTATTAGAAGACACAATATTTTTTCCTCTAAAATTCCACTGATTCCTTGGAATTCCATTGCCTTCTTTAGATATTGTACCTATAAACATATCTCTTCTTGCTTTGCATTATAATTCATTAAAATATTTTGATATTTCTTATTGGAGTGTGATTTCCTTGAGGGAAAGAGATTACACTTTCCTCCTGTTTTTCCACCAGAGCCCAACACAATGCCTAGAATAAGAAGTGGATCTGATTTGTATGCGTTTAATTGAAACAGGGTCCGAATTTCAAAATACAGGCAAAGGATTATTTTTCAAGTATAGGTGTGATAAATTATAGTCTCCAAGTGGTGATTTTATTTCCTCATGTAGCTTGGAGACTCTCAAAAGAGAAATCTAGCAAATTGCATCCTGTATGCTGAGTCTTGGAGCCCAGCAAAGTCAAGGGACTATGAACACACCATGATAAGTCCCAGAGCTCCAAGTAAGAGGTGAGACTGGGGCGAAGACATGGAAGCGAGTGCATGACAAAATGGGGTGCCAGATGTTGAAATTCTTTGTAGGGTTTGCTGAGGAGTTTTCTTTCATCTTGTAAGCAATAGAAACGTTTCACCAAAAGATTACAGTGTTAAATGATCCCCCTGGTAGCAGAGCAGAGGATACATTGGTGCTAAAGAGGTAATCATGGTGGTAGAGGTGGAGATGAAGAAAGACTGGATGACAAAACAAATGTGAAAAAGAAAATGTAGGCCAGAATTAGGAAAGCCTTAAAGGGAAAAGATATTTTGGAGATATTTGAAATACAAAGCAAATAGGATATGAAGAATTTCATGAAAAATGGGATGTTTAAAGTAAACAAAAGGATTCCTAGTAAATTCCTCAGATTCCTGGCACTGGTAGTTGGGTGGTCTCTTGTGCCGTCGCTAATATCAAATGTATGGCATCAGGAACAAAGACTAAGGAGGTAGAAGATGAATCAAGATCAAAATGACTGCTTTAAGTTGCTGATAGTTACACAATGATTAAAGGGAGTTTTAATTACTCTAATTCTATTATAATAACAGCTTACAAAGTACTCATTTGAGTTTTTATAGAGGTTAAGTAATTATCCCCGTTTTACAGATGAATAGGCTGAGGATCACAGAGAGTAAGATTCTTATACAAGTCATATGGCTAGAAATGATCAGAAATTTGATTTAAATGCACGTTTTCTGACTCCCAAGTCCTGAGAGATCTTTACTACCTCTCAGTATATGAGAGTGGGCTCATTCACACATTTTGACAGCTTTGTATCATAGGTGAAAACAGAAATGGAATTTCGGTTACCTCTGTTAAATTGAGGACTCGAGTGGCTATAACATTTATCCCATAATACACACATTCCCCCCTCATCTCCCAATGCTGTAATGTCTTATAATAACTACTTCACATTTGCATGCAATGGAAGCTTCCTTAGAAAGGTATGACAAAATATTAATGCATACTGTAGCAGTCATTTTCCTTCCTAAACCATTATTTTCAAAATCATACTATTAAATTCACAAGTTAGCTAAAACCCTATCAAATATGTTTACCTACAAACTTTTCATTATATTTTTTACGTGGAATTCTGTTTCTGAAGTTATAGCGGAAAAATTAAAAAACAAAAATATTCCTCATCCAAGAGTTCACTTACCTCTGTTTACCTTTATGATCGACAGAGCCAGCAGAGAGTCTGTCCAGGGGAGACCCAAAGCCCGAGAAGCTCCTTTTCTTCTTTGTTTCAATTACATCATTCTCCAAAGACACAAGTTCATCAAGAAGCAAGAGTTTCACTGCCAGATTAGTAGCTGACTTCTCTTTCCTGACTGTGGATGGTGACTGCACATTTATGACTCCAGAATCAAAAGCCTATAGGGCAAGAAAGGTGATTCCATTTGTTCAGAAAAAAACCTCAAAATATATAATCATCTGCATTTGGCTTTTGCTATCTTTAGCTGACATGCCTGTCATGAAACTTGTTTTTTTGTAGATTTATGTCCCAAGAAAAAGACTTCTGGGGACAAAAACGTGTAGAGATGAGGTATATCTAAACACAATTAAAACAATACACGTAGACACAGATGCACACACACACATGCAAACACCCAAGAGAAAAGGAAAAACCACAGGCCTGCCTCTAAAATTTAGTGCATTAACTAATCATCTTTTAGATTCTTTCCCAGTAACAGCTGCATCCTTCCTTAACATTCCCATACCATTTTACCTATCTTTCATCATTGTACGCATTACATTTTCCCTTATATTAGATTAGTTACAATATATTTGCATTACTTATTAGATTGTGAGTTATCTGAGGGCAATACCTATGTCTAATTAGTCTTTTATTTATTCACTCTAGTCAATGCTTAAGCCAGTATTTTGCTCACAGTTAGTACTCAGTCAATTTCTGAATATTTACTGAATGAATTTTGAAAATGCAAATGTCAGTTATCTTTCACTAGTCATTCATACCTTATTGATTCAAGCCATTAAGTACCCACTGTGTACCAGGTTCTGCATTAGACCTGAGGGATACAAAAATGAACAAAATCCAGGCTCTGCCCTCAGGAAGCTTACCATCTCTCTGTGTGATGTATTACCAAACGTTAATGAGTGTCTACAGTGAGTCAGAACTATTCCAATGACTGTCCTCCCACATAAAATTTCTTGTTTATTACACATATTGCCACTTCGCACTTCATCCAAGGCATAAAAGTGTGGGTGTCATCTATGAAGCCTATTTTTTCCTTTCCTAAGCCTGATCACAGCATTAAAAAAAAGTTCCTATTAACGGTCTCTAGTCATTGTGGAGTCTGGGGGCTATTGCTTTTTTCCTAAGAAAGTGAGAATATGGCCCTGTGGGAAGAAACTTGCTCCAGGGACCTCCTCCCTGCTTCCCTGTTAGTCACATTCCTCCTCAAGCCAGACTCTTGGTCTTGGCAAGACTCTTTTTCTTCACTTCCTGTCTTTCTTCTTAGATTATTTCTTCCATTCTCTTTCTATGTTCTTCATTTTCCCCAGTAAAATGAAAGAGTGGCATTTCCAAGCCTTTTCATCATGGGCTTCAGCAACTCTCTCATGAAATACATACAGTCTGACGCTGAGACCCAAAGCGATTGAGTCTGCTGTTTCCTAAACCAATCAAATTTGCACTAAGTCTAGTCAGTTCTTCCCAGTAAACCTGTCTTGCTCTTTCTGATTCCCTTCATTAGTGAGCCATATCAGCTCCCCTTCGCTGCTTAGTGTATGTACACTCTTAATGACCTCATAATCTGCTTCTCTACCCCCATTGCCCCTTTTCTCTTTTGCCAGGAAGCTAATTATCCCAAACACACTCTCATCCAGTAGAACGAAAATCAGAAATCTCTCATAGCTCTTGTTATTTACAATGTAGACTCCACAGGGTCCACAAACTCCTCTTAAAACCTCGTCTATCACTCTCCTACATACACTTGACAACACAGAAATTGGGGAAGGGAAAAACACTGTAATCATGAGAAAGAAACTTTAAAGAGCAGCAGACAACTTTCAAAGGGCAAAGATGGGAGATCTTTTATTATCTCTCAGCGCATCCTCCAAAAAGTATGCTTTCATTCTTCCAACTCCTGCACATACAAAACAGAGTTTGTTCCTTTTTAAAGATAATCTTAATCCCCTGGGGGGAAAATCATGGAACTCAAGTAAAACGCACTTCAGAGTCTTACTTGTTTTTTGTGAAATACAGAGAACACTTTCTAACAAGATCAAATGAGCCAAATTAACATTTCTCTGTCTAGCGAAGTCTGGGCATTTATTTTTCTTTGTACTTTAGTCATGGCAGCAAGAAAACATTTGTATAGTCATACAAAGTTTGGCCAAAGCAATTGATTTAATTAAATATATGGTTGAAATGATAATGAATTTTCTTGTAATGCTTTTTTGTTCAAGGAATACACATCTTTATTACTTCCAGCTTATTTTTTGATAGTCAGATAACTGGCCTTCTCTGAATCTATAGGGAGGTCAAAACAATAGGAAAAAAAAGTATCTATTTCCTTGATTTTGTGTTATCAAGGCATCTCTCTATTTGTCAGCAACACCTACTTCTGACACTAGTAGAAATGGCTTATGCTCATAAAAAATACATGGTCCCTTAAGCTAGTTTTCATTACCTCTGTTGCTACATCCACTGAGTGTACTTTTCCTGAACTCCACAGCATCAACGTCACAGCCAGAATAAAATGTGCATTTGCCAATCTCCAGTCCGGCATCTGAGGGTCACATACATCAGGTCAACATTTATTTCTTTGGCATATAAAGATAGAAAACAAAAGCTCCGGTAAAGCTTGTTAGTTGCAGATGATAAACGAAATTATTCAGCTTCTAGGTGCTGGAGTACATCTCTGCAAAACTTAAATAATACTTAATAGAAGCTGTCAGTCTCCTGGAATGAATTCTATTAAGGCTTCATTTCCATGGAAACCTAGGCTGGGGTTGTATAACTATAATCATAATTTGAACTAGCCAAAGTCTGAGAAATCTGGTTTGTATAATCTTATTCTTTGACTAATCCAAGGATTATAACCTCATATATGCAGGGGAAATGTATGAAATTGACCAGGTATTAGAAAATAAGGTCCAGCGAGGTCTGTGTGAATCTGAGAAAATGCACTGTGTCTAAAAGCATTTACATTCACAAATTCAAAAACACCACATATCCAATAGGCAAATATATTTATGTCCTTGTGTTATGTAATGATTTTTTAGATTCAAATGGTTCAAAATGGAATATATTTTCAACATAATATATAAATGAGAGATTACCATTTGAAATATTTAAAAACTGATATATAAAATTTAAAAAATAAGAGTGAATTAATGATTAACTAAAAAATGGGACAAAGTTATGAACAGGTATTTCATAGAAAAGGAAATAACCTCATGAAAAATAAGCATCCAAAAATACATCATCCAAAAACACATATAACTTATTTAATACAAAAAAAGAGAGACATGCATCAGATTGGCAAAAATTCAAAGTGAACGTTGTGAATGTTAAAATGGTGTTTAGAAACAGAGAAACACAAGTGATGCTGGTGGGGTTGGAAATGAATGCAATCATTTGGAAAAAATTAGACAGTATCCAGAAAAGTTGAAAATGATCATGTTCTACTTATAACCTATTTATTTCACTTCTTGATATATACTCCAAAGGAACTCTTACATGTTTTTATGGAGAGATATATCTGAAAGTTCACAGACTCATTGTTTAAAGTGGTAAAAACTGGAATCTACCCAAGTACTCTACTCAGGAGGAAATACGTTTATCAGTTGAGGTACATCCATAGTATGGACTTAGAACAAATGGCTTAAATGTTATGTGTATTTATATGCATGGATTTCAAAGAAAGTTACTTTGGGGGGAAGTGGGAAGTTGTAGAACAACATATAGGACATGCTACCATTTACCTAAATTGCAGATACACAAAATAATTTTATGTATTTTGAAATCTATACACATATTTAAAGTATAAACAAATGGAACTTCATTCATGACTATGATTCCCTCTTTGGAGGGAAGAAAGTAAATAAGATTATGGGAGAAACATAAGGACTTAGTTGTTGTTTTTTTTCCAAAGATTTTATTTACTTATTTGACAGAGAGAGAGACAACAAGAGGAGCTGCAGACAGAGGGAGAGGGAGAAGTAGGCTCCCTGCTGAGGCCAGAACTTGATCCCAAGATCATGGGATCATGACCTGAGCCAAAGGTAGACATTCAACCAACTGGGCCACCCAGGTGCCCCGGGACTTAGTTTTAATCTATCTATCTATCTATCTATCTATCTATCTATATTTTAAAGCAGGTATGTCTAAATAACACATTTGTTACTTCTGTGTACTAATCACAAAGATATGTCATTTATACATTTATGACTTTTTATATTAAAAAATCACTATATAGATACTTAAAGTGAATCTATGGTCTATATTGGGTCTGCTAGATGCCAGTTTGACCGCTGGAAAGGGGAGGTGTTGCCTGGTTTAGGGAAGATCGCAGGCTGTGGGTTACAATAGAATAGGCTTGATGTCACCACTTGGTACATGGTATTGGAAAAGTCTCCCCTCACAACCTGTCAACCAGGTCATACATTATGAATGAGAAGTTTCAGGAAACTTTTATTTCCAAAAAAAAGTCATTTGGAAAGCTGCTGGGATAAAAAAGGATGGGCTGCTTAGATGGATCTGAGGAACTGGATTTGAGTCTCTTTGTGGCTTCAGTATTAGTGATGTTGGATGTGCGATACTTTATCTAACTGAGCTTTGTTTTTAGTATTGATGAAGCAAGGAGTAATTCTCACCTCAAAAGAGCTTTGATAGGATTCTACTGATTCGTGTAAACTTCTTTATCCCATAATATATTTATCATTTTAAGTGAAAGAACACTGATGAGGTATTACTAAGTATTTCTTTAGTAAATACATTTGCTTTGGTGTGACCCAAGATTTTTTTATGACTTCCTTATAATTCTGTTACTGTGAAATCTCATTGTAGATTTTAGCAATAAAATGTTGTAACATTGTAAATTTGTTGTAAACAAAAATTGTCTTAAAATTGTAAAATGTTGTAACATAAAATGTTGTAACATTGTAGATCTAGCAATAAAGACTATCTGCTAGAATATAGACAAATAAGTGTTTTCTTATAGACAGGGTTGCATCTGTGTTAACCATCTCTATTAACATTTAAAATAAAAACATATTTTAGCAATGTTGATAACATTTATCAAATATAATTTCAGTTTTCATGTTATGTTGTCTAAACTAGTTCTTCAGTATGCCATCAATAAATATTTTGGGCTCTTGTAATGTAATGTCTTGTAAGTTTCTTCTCTATATGCCACCCTTTCTGGAAGGGTGCAGTAAATTCTCTGTTCTCTTTCAGACAAATTGATATCTGAGCTGAGTATTTTTATAAGTATCAAAAAGTAATAAATCATGTCGATGACTCTAAATTGAGACAGTAGAAAAATAACAGGAAAGAATGTAACAGTTATCTGGTAAAAAGATGAACAAAAAGCGCCTTACCTATTCTTCAGAACATGTGTCACAGAATTGTATTTTTTTCCCTTCTGTTTATGCTGATGTCTCTTTAACTTCCCTCAATGTAAAGGAAGATCTATCAAAACTTTAACTATTTTAAAAATGATTTCATATTTCTGGCATATCTTTATTTCTTAAAAATAGCTCTTTCATTCAATCAAAGATAAAGTACAATTGTGATGTTTTCCTCCCTCATTTTTTTATCATGTTGAAAACAGTTTACAATGTGTAAAACTGCCCAGTTTTATAAGTCTTGCCATGTGGATTTCCTTTAACTATTTTTATGTATGTTTCACAAACCAGGTTTCTCTTCATTTCTTCAATATTATAAATGGCACAGGATGATGGACATTTATAATATTGATGATTATGTTTGAGGCATATATTTTTGTGCTTGGGTGTATACAGGAAAAAAGTTATAATGTATCATCTTACAGATAACCACATCCTGATTATTTGGATAGGGGGATGTAAAAATAAGTGCTGAGTTTAAATACACACATTTAATGGTTTAAACCCATGCTTGTAGCCAGTTAACCAAAAGGCCAAGTTCCTAAATATGGCAGTTGGTACACTAATGAAAACAAACACCCTGGCACCTGCCACACAAAAGACATTTGATTAACTCGTTGAAACTTGATTGCCACGAAATTAGAAACAGAGGAAATTATAGGGAGGGAAGGGAAAGAGTAGGTTCAGCTCCATTTCCCTATTTTGTTGATACTGGATAAATATAGCCTATGATTTAAAATCTAGTAGGCCCCATGTACACTCCAAATTACAGAAAGAACACTTAAGGATGTTCATTATAGGAATACACCAGAGTGGAGATGTTTGCAAAGTTTTCAGGACATCAGTAATTTGGATTGAGCGATTTTTGAATAATATTCCTCTGGCTAGTGAGGAGCTTCAACAGAGACAGTGGGCATGGGATCTGCCTTACAGAATTAGGTGCTTCCTCTACTTGTTGTTAGCCCACTGGTTTACTATGTTCTTGCATTTTCACTTTTTAAATAATATTGCTGAATAAACAAATATTCATGTTGTGTAACTTCTCAACCTTTGTTTTAAAGACCTTTCCACATGTCAAAATTATAACCCAAAGGGATCCTCCAAACTCTAGCTGGAATGGTAGTGAGGAGAGCAAGGTTGTTGGTGTGTGTATGTGTGTGTGTGTGTGTGTGTGTATGTGTGTGTTTGTGTGTGTGTGTGTGTGAAGTTTCGTCATTTAAGTTTTGGAAGCAACGCATATTGTATATTCCTTAAAGGATCATTGAACATGCATATTGGCCTATTAAAGGCTCTGAAAGTACAGTAGCCAAGAAATTATTTGATTATATTTAGGCTAGAATTAAATGAGAATTCTGTTAAAATGAGGAAAGATGTTTGCATTGTTAAGAATCAGTGAGGTAATGAGTCATTGTTCTTACTAAAAAAAATCTCACACTTGAGCTGAGGCAGAAAAAAAGAAAAGATCAAGAACCACAGATCTAAAAGAGAGAGCAAATAGGAATCAGAGGAGGTGTTAGAGTAAGAAGTTAAACTGAAAAGAGAAAGAGTGTGAGCCAGTATCTGATTGCATGCACTTTTTAATCACACTTTTAAACTATCTATCTTGAGGGTTGGTGTTGAAAAAAAACAAACTACTCTGGTGATTTAGGAAATTTCCCTTCAACCTGAGTCTTTGTCATTAATGTCTGACTAATGGATAGTAGATCTATTAGAAAGTCTCAAGAGTACTGAGTTTGGGAATTTTTAATTTACTCCAGTAACTTTTGGGATTTTTAAATTTACCCTAGTTACTTGATTGGAAATATTCAAAATAGACTTTACTGCACACTTATTTTCAACAAAAACTAAAAACAAAGGGCTTAACGATAAAGGATAAAAGACTTACAAAGTAATTAAAACTTTACATTTTTTAAGTGTGATTTAATAGGACATGTAAAGTGTCCCTGGTTCTGACACTATGAAATGACCCTATGTGCCTTGCCCCCACCCCCCTCCACACATACACTACTCACTGTCTTGTTAGAAAGTGATGGTGGGTATCTAAGCAATTGGTGTCAGCTTGGCCCTGAGTAAATCTATAAAACAATAAGTTCAGTGTGCCCGGCACCATGCTCCATAAGTTATAGTTACCCAGGTCTTTTATAAACAAAGGAAAGCT